TCCGCGTTTTACTAGTCCGCGTTTTACTAGTCCGCGTTTGAATAGTCCACGTTTTACTAGTCCTCGTTTTACTAGTCCGTGTTTTACTAGTCCGCGTTTTACTAGTCCTCGTTTTACTAGTCCGCGCTTTACTAGTCCGCCCTTTACTAGTCCGCGTTTTACTAGTCCAGTCCAGTCCAGTCGACGAAATACCATATGCCTATCATTTTTACCAAGGTAGTAGGATTTCAGGTGGTGGTACATTAATTTTTCAAATATCCGATTGAAAATAGACAGTAATGATATTGGACGATAATTACTAGGGTCAGTCTCTTCATCATTTTTGTACACAGGAACAATTTTCGCTTTTTTCAGTTTGGATGGAAAGATGCCCTTTTGCACAGATATATTTATGATGATGGAGAAAGGGTTCGAGATAACGCTTGTTGCGTTAGTTAAAATTCGAATCGGACAAGAGTAGAGACCGTAAGTTTTATTTTTAGGGATCAGAAGTATCTCACGCTCAATTTCCTCTGGCGTAACTGGATCAAAGAAGAAAGAGCTTGGATTATAATTGGGAGACAAGTATTCGGTAAAATAAGGAGATGAACGAGGTACAGTTGAAGCTAGGTTTTTACCGATAGAAGAAAAGTAGTTATTGAAGATGTTAGAAATCTCAAGAGGATCATTAGTTAAGGTGTTATCCTCAGGACGTTTAAGAGAAGAAATGACTTGTTTTCTATTCTTTTTATCTTTTGTTTTCTATTCTTTTTATCTTTTGACGTAAAAGACGGGAAAAAATACAAATAGCGCGCGGATTACTAACTTTAAATCCAAGAAAAGAAAACAAACACTAGGGGAGAAGGTGATGCAAAAATCAAACAAAGAGAATAGATAGTTTTTGAGATGAAAAATTAAGAAAAACAAACGAACAAAAAAAGAATAGATACGAGACAATGAATACGAGGGATGCTGACGCATTTATCACCCGGAAAGATTTATCGGCGGAAGTTAACTTATTGTCAACTAGGCTTGAATCAGGACGGAGTTAGTGTTACTAAAGAATCAGAACGGAGTTAGTGTTACTAAAGAATCAGAACGGAGTTAGTGTTACTAAATCATAGTGTAGAGTGCGATACCTAGAAGAAATCTGCTCTTGTTCTTACTGGCCCCTTACTGATTCATCTTATCCATTGTCGTCATTGCCTCTAAACTTTACAATATTTTTTATTTCTGTATTACCGAGGCTGAATTATACACTGATTTTGATTGGTTCTTACAAATGATCTATTAGAAGACAGACAAATAGATGACGTCACGTTTTGCTACTTATCATAAAAAACAAAAACCAATAGATTCTTTGTCGCTGTGCGTCTGTTCATTATCAGATCACGGAAAATCTTAATATGTATTAAGAACATCATTGATGCGTCAAGCTGCACTTTGTGTGCGACTTATTTGTTCTTACTTCGTTTTGACGTCATCTGTGATTTCTTTACGGAATAGACGAACCCCAAAAGGGAATACGTAACGAGAGGTGTCAAATACAAACAACAAAACAAACTAGAAAATAAGGTAAAGCAGACAACGATACAAGAGAGCCTTCTCTGATGCTGTTATAATATTGACACATAAAATTAGTTATGCTAAATGTGATGTCCCGGTTTAAATATTGATTAAATAAATGCCACTTTCTGTGCAGACAGCGAGACAAAGGAATGTTGCTACCTATGATCTTGTGCTTTAACAAATCATGAATCAGAACCAATCAAAATGTAGTAAAGTTATGCCAAATTTATACAATAAATTAATTTGAACTATGCAAGGTTGGCGTTTTGAGGAATTTTGAACCCCCTTAATGATTTTTACATTACAAAAGTTCAATTCATTCAAATAAAACTTACTTGCTACTACAGAACTTCTCTCTCTCACCTCCCATAACCATACTTTGTTAACATATTAATTTGAATATATCAACAAAGTTTAAATGGTCAATTGGCCACCGTTACGATTATAAAAGCTGACGTTTCAAGCGTTAGCCCTTCGTCGGAGCGAATAGAGGAATTGTGGGTTGTGTGTGCTTTTAAAGGCAGAAAATGGAGCTACGTTATTGGTGGGAACATGGCAACGAGAAAAATACGAATAAATTAGTGGAATGAAAAGCGTTCGTTATACCGGTGGGATTTAGACTGCCGGTTTAAAAGATGAGCTTTTGTTCAAGAGTTTTACGGCTTTCCGTGCTACCTAAGTCTAAGGAAAGACCGCAGATTGCCGTATGTTGCTTAGAATAATTACATAAATTAAAATGTCTAGCGACTGGTTTCGATGTGTCATTGTCATTGCAGTACTCAATTGATAAAAAGGGGAAATGGTCTAATGAAACTTTTTCACTCAAAGTAATGGCAATCTACAAACTACTATATCAAAAAATTGACACAGGACACAATACTGTCACTGAAAAGTAGTTGGTAACTTTCCCTTAACTTTCATCAAAATGGGGTCATCTGTTAGATGTGACTTTGTCAGAGAGAGGAAATTTCAAGAAAGAAACCTCTAATAACCCTGAATAAGCCTTAGAATCTCCTATGGGTAAAAATAAACATTGATGTGCGTATACAAACATGCTGTTGAAACCATCAACTCTGTCCATGCGCAACTTCACTAACCCTTTTCACTTCCAAGAGTGACCAACGGGTAATTTCTGCATACAATATCAATACATTCTGACCAAGACAGGGGACTAGAAGATGGTAAATTATCATTAAGGGTATATTGTTTGATCCAGTACCAAATTCTGAGGATGTTAATTGCAGCAAAGGTATTGAAGACAGAGGAGAAATGATATTGAGATCTTAGGAGTGTTAAAGAATCTATCTACAGAAATAAATTCCATAAATAAGATTTAATTATTGTCCAAACTACAGATTCACCACGATAAAAAAATCAAAAGCTAGCTGCGAGATCCGATCTTTAAACTATTAGCTTCAGAATATTTTATCATCCATAAACATACTCCAATTATGAGTCTAATGTGACTGCAAAAAGAAAAAATTGAATGGAAAAAAAATACTTTTGCCAGTCCCTCTTGAAGCAAACCACTCTTCAAATTTTTATGATTCATTAATAGAGATAATCCCTTTAAAAAGAAAAGACAGAGTATGCAATTGTAAGAGCTGATGTACTATTCTACAAATAATATTTTGTAAAAAGACAGAGAGGGTAAGAGTAACCCATGCTCATGAAATTGTAACATTGATCATATTCTGTAACAGAAGAAAAGGATTGATGGACTAATTGATTCAATGAGACTTTTTCTGGAGGTAAGGAGACAACTACAACTTCAGATGGTATTTACATTTCCTTTGGTACTGACAAGGAGACCACTTAACATTCAAAGATTCTCAAGCTGGTGATCATTTCCTTACTCTTGTGATGTTAATAAATGATTAAACATTATGACTGTAATGCTATGTGTTTATCAATTTGAGGCTTCAACAACCATTCTCCCCTCTCGCCAGACAACACCTTGGGCATTTGAACTTTGGAAGATGGGCTCATTCAAATCTCTCCCTTCCATGGCCTTAATTAAATTGAACTCTTTATCTTTAAGCACCTCCATATAAAGATGAATATATATCATTCACCAGCTAGGAGGTCCGTATTGGGAAAAACTGTGCCCGAGGTCTTAGTTAGCGTCAGAGGCTGTAGGCCAAGGGGCTACTCAAGACAGAGGGCACAACTTTTCCCAATATGTACCGACCTAGAATGGCCTGCCCTGGAAGGACACTCATCCACTCCTACCTGACAACTACGAGACAAGCTTCAGACGATTAAAGAATCTGTTAAAACGGCATAAAGAAGATCCAAACGTGCTGCTTGATTATGATGCTGTTATCAAGAGCAGATTAAGAGCGGGATTGTAGAAGTCAGTAAGCCAGAATGTGGAGAAGTTGGAAGAGTACATTACCCACCACACCACGTTGTTATTAGGAGGGATAAAGAAACAACAAAGTTCAGAATTGTTTATGACGCATCCTGTAAGTCAAATGGCTGCTCCTTAAATGACTGTCTGTACACTGAGCCAGTACTCTCCTAGAAAATTATGGACATCATCCTCAGGTTCTGAACAACCAAAACAACAAACAGAAAGGCATTTATTGGGGATATCGAAAAGGCATTCCTTAATGTATCAGTTGCAGAAAATGATAGAGATGTTTTGAGATTTCTCTGGGTCGACGACGTCAAGAAGAAAAGACATGAAGTTGTTGTGTTGAGGTTCGCCAGAGTTATATTTGGTGTGTCATCCAGTCTCTTCCTGCTCGATGCAACGGTCAAACATCATATGGAGAGATATGAAGATGACGACCCGGAATTCGTCAAGACTTTCCTAACGTCAATCTATGTTGATGATTTGAGTATGGGAGGAGACGCAGATGAGGAAGCGTACCAGATGAACATCAAGTCCAAACTAAGACTAGCAGAGGGTGGGTTCAACTTGAGAAAATTTGTGACAAATTCGGCTGACTTAAGGAACCGCATAGAAGAAAATGAAAACAGATTACACTACGGTCATTCTACCCCGCCTATCAACAAGAGGAGCACAGCCGATGAAGAGAACCTCGAGGTAACTGCAGTTAATGACGACACTCGGAAGTTGGTTTTTGAGAATGAACAGTCCTACACCAAGGGTACACTTGGAGGCATACAAGATGATGATAAGTCTGTACAGAAGATTCTCGGAGTTCAGTGGAACTTTGTTGAAGACCAGTTGAAATTTGACATCAATTCTATTGCCAAGGAAGCCTTGGAGAGCATTCCCACTAAAAGGAACATTGCCTCAATTGCTGCAAAATTCTATGATCCCATTGGTTTTTTGTCCCCAGTTGTTGTACATTTGAAACTCTTGTTTCAAGAACTTTGTGAAAGCAAAACCGACTGGGATTACACATTGGAAGGGGAGCTGCTCACCAAGTGGAACAAACTAGTCTCAAACCTTCAAGATGTCCAACCATTCTGATTAGAGAGATGTTATTTTAAAGAGCCACGGGATACAGTTGTTCGTTGCGACCTTCATAGATTCTGTGATGCTTCGCTAAACGCATACAGTGCAGTTGCCTACCTTGAAATCAAAACAACCTCTCAAACCTACACTATATTTGTAGCTTCGAAGACAAGAGTAGCCCCACTGAGCAAGGAAACAATTCCCAGATTGGAACTTCTCGGAGCAGTCGTACTAGCTAGACTTATCTCTGCTGTTAAAGCAGCTCTAGAATGCGAAGCACTTATTAAGAAGATTACCTGTTGCAGTGACTCCGAGATTGTGCTCTGCTGGATCAAGAACACTGGTAAAGAATGGAAACAGTTCGTGCAACACCGCGTCGCCGAGATTAGAAGGCTTCTCCCTGTTGACTGCTGGAGACATTTTCCTACTGATAGCAACCCTGCGGACATCCCATCAAGAGGAATGAATCCTTCTCAGTTAGCTTCAAGCGCTCTTTGGCACAATGGTCCAGAGTGGTTAGGCTATTACAAGGACAATTCAATTGAGGGTAGCCATGCCGAACACATACCTGACGAGTGCTTAGCAGAAATGTCTGTGAAGAATCGAGAACAACTCAAAACCTCGACCTCCGTTATCAGTTCTGAAAGCCATAGCATCAGTAGTCTTATTGATCCAGACCGCTTCAACAATCTCCATCGCCTGTTACGTGTTACAGCTTATTTGTTGCGATTTGTTAAGAACCTTAAGGAAAGACTGGGAGGTGGTGAACAAGTGTCTGAATCAGACATAAGCGCTACTGACATGAAGGATGCAGAACAGTGTTGGATTTTAGATGTGCAGAAAACTCTGCGACTTAATAAGAAGTTCGAAAGCTGGAACCGCGAGTTCCATCTCTTTACTGATCCTGATGGCCTTCTAAGGTGCAGAGGAAGGCTGTCTCATGCTGAACTTCCATACAAACCAAGCATCCCATCCTACTTGATAGTGTCCACAGGTTTACCGCCCTAGTTATTAAGGATTGCCACAAGAGAGTAATGCACAATGGGGTTAAGGATACACTGACGGAGTTTCGCTCCAAGTTCTGGTTAGTGAAGGGAAGACAGACAGTAAACAAACTTCTGTGTGACTGTGTGACGTGTCGGAAATACGAGGGAAAGGCGTTCAAACCACCGCCACCACCCCCTTTCCCTGATTTTAGGGTGACAACAGCACCAGCCTTTACGTATATTGAATTGGATTACGCAGGTCCATTGTATGTCAAGGAAACTAAGGGGAAAACCGAGAAGAAGGTACGTCTGGATTTGTCTATACACATGTTGTGTGACAAGAGCGCTTCACCTTGAAAAGGTACCGGACTTGACCCCAGAAGCATTCCTTAGAAGTTTCTGAAGATTCTCTGCAAGACGAGGCTTACCTTCCAATATTGTTTCAGATAATGGGACGACCTTAAATCTGCATCCAAACAGATAACAGAGCTGATGAGAAATCCAGAAGTAAAGTGGTACCCTGCAGAGAAAAGAGTCAAATGGATCTTTAATCTTGAGAGAGCCCCTTGGTGGGGAGGCCTATTTGAGAGAATGGTAAGGTCCGTGAAACGGTGCCTGAAGAAAACGATTGGTGGTGCAAGGCTCGCATGTGAAGAATTGATGACCGTCATTGCTGAAGTGGAAATGATTCTCAATTCAAGACCACTTTCTTATGTATCTTCCTCCGAAGAAGATGAGCCATTTACACCATCGCACCTGCTTCACAGAAGACGGTTATTGAGCCTGCCTGATCACAGGTTCACTGCAGACTTGTCAGATCTTGATGTTGAACTTTCACCCACTGACCTAAGTAAGAGAGCGAACCATCTTAGCAATCTGATGAATCATTTCTGGCATAGGTGGAAGAATGAATACTTGATAGAGCTCTGTGATTCACATCGGCACCCTGGCAAGAGTTCTAATTCAACATCAATAGAAGTTGATGTTGTTGTTGTGCAGGATGAAGAGCGACCTCGTGGATTCTGGAGACTGGCAAGAGTCGAAGGTCTGATAACTGGAGCAGATGGTTTTGTCAGAGGCGCAACTTACAAAACCCGCAGATCCTCTACCTTGAGACGTCCGATTCAATTGATGTATCCGCTGGAGATAAGAAACGAAGGTAAATCTGTTGCCTCGGACGATCAGGGAAGTCCTGCACTGAACCATTATAGTGAGGGCTTTCAACAACCACTTCAATCAAGGAGAAACCCCAGGAGAGCAGCCGCAGCAGAGGCAGAGAGAGGGAGAAGAACGTGGGTTGAAGAACTTGTTTGATTTGTTTGATCAAAGGAACACAGAACATTTTCTAGTTTATGTTTTCCATGTTGCTTGAGCTTTGCGTTTAGGGTTTGTGTTGACCAGTTTTGAGCTCAGGTTTAGTACTTCCTTCACTGGTCAACAGTGGGGGAGGATGTTAGGAATGTCATGATGCCTGTAAGCACGCGTAACGTGCCTGTCCTGTTCTCGGGAATCATGGGATTGTAAGACATGTGCTCGCAAGTATATAGTTTTTGGCTGGACAGATGTGGATTAAAGTATTTGTTGAGTTTTATCGAATTGTGATCCTTGTAGCGACCTAAACCATTCAACCTTTTCCCAACAATTTTCATATAAGCATCTGTCACAATCTGACGTCTCAATTAGTAAGCGCATAAGGAAAAAATGAAGCCCACTCACACTTTTGAAAAAGAGAAAGTACTTGTTTTAGCAAGTAAACTTGAGGTAAATGACTATGACTGTGACTTTTTCATCTTCACGGATTTTAAGGAAAGAATTGTTCTCTTCCAATGATGATGAATTTATGAATTACCCCTGTTCAGTTTTAAATGTCAAGGAAAGTCAGATTGTAAGTAAATTCATATGATTGTATGTTTTGAGGTTGTGAGAGTCTGCTTGCTGTAATAGCATCTGTAAAATTTGTCTTCCACCAAAAATTGAAGACAAATGACATTATTACTTTTTCTAGCTAGACACAAGGGGATGTAATGTAACTTTTAGTCATCGAATTTCTTGTTCCTGTTGTGAAATGTAAGGTAGAAATAGATAGATAGGTTATTAAAACTGCATCACAGCCAAAGGCTGAATTATGCAATTATTTACAAAAACTTTACAATACTTGAAAATTACAAATGAATCCTAGATAATAAATCGAAAAATGATTTTTAAGATAATATTAAAAATTATCTATAACGTATTCATATTTACATGTTAGAATATAAAGCATGAGTATAAGTGGGATAAAACTACAGCCCGGACTGTTTTAACATCGCATATATAAACGTATCACTTGTTCTGTTCGTGCAAAGCTTTGGCATATTAAAAAAGGCCCTGTCTTCTTAGGTTATAGCATTGACATGGTCTGGTGGAAGGAGCGCCTTCAATTTATGGTTTGGATCACTGACAATGTTATCAAAAAGCCTGCTACATAGTACGTAATAATGCTCCAAAATGTTAACCCCACCTCTATTGCCGAGTTGCACTTTTCTGAGGTTATTTTTGATATTGCTCTTTTCTCGAGCTGTACCACCTCTTTCTTTAAGTACTGGGGGAGACCGTTAAAAAAGACAGGTGCTGCATAATCAATAACAGATTTCACATCATACGTAGATCAGTGCTAGATCTTTTTTCGGAACTCCCGCTCTCTTAACTGAGTTAGGAAGTAGAGCCTCTTGCTCGCCTTTTTGGTTATCTCAGTTACATGGTCGTTCCATGTTAGATCGCTCGCTATTGTAAGGCTTAGTAGCTTTGTACTAGTGACTCACTCTACCTCCTTTCCTTCTATGATGACGGGATCAAAGACTCTTTGCTCTTTAGCAAAGGAGATCCTGAGTTCTTTGCACTTATGGGCGTTTGGTTGGACCCTGAAATTTCTGGAGCTTGCAAAGAATTACTTAAGTTTATCTATAGTAAATTTCTGGAGCTTGCACAGAATTACCAAAAGTTTATCTATAGTAAAACTCAAACATTCATTCAACATCTTACAGCCAACAAATTGTTTTGTAGAATTCTGATATCAAATGTATGAAAGTTGTGTCCATGAAACTAATTATTAACTGCAAATGCCTCTCATTTTAACTTTCTTAGTTACATTGTAAGAAGGATTATTGAATTATAAACGTTTTGTAGGCCGCATGTCAAAAAACACATTTGGTACCAAATCAGTTTTTTTTTCTTATTTGAGAGAGAAAGAGGAGAGAATTAATAAGTTATTTATTAGCTAAAGATGGTGACTAAAATCTCTGCTTACAATGCTGACCAGCAGGTAAAACTAAATATATTTATAAAGTTTGCAACAAAGCTAAAGATGTACTAGGAAACTCTACATGCAACGGATAGGATGCCGCCTGCTGTGAGTTGGCCAAATGGGAGAATACTGCACACTCCCAGAACCAATCAGATTGCATGATTTGTAGATTACTGCCCGCTCATGAACTAAGAAAAAATAAAACACTTGTATTCCACTGGAAAGGTTTGGCAGTTGTGGTTCAAATTCCACACCCCACCCAGGCAAGGTTAAAATTCTCCACCCCTGAGCTCAGATGACAGTCAATGACTAGACTGTGGGTTGCCTGTGGGAGGAGGGATCACTGCATGGAGAGAAATTAAATGCTGGTCACTCTTAGGGTTAAGAGGGGTTAATCTTCAGAGGCCTGTTTTAATTATTGTGGAAAGGGCATGTTAAATTACCAATTTGCATTTGAGGAGGATTAAGTAAATATTTTCCCCTCCATGGTTCACAATATTGTTGTACATAATAACATGACTTTGATTACTAATAAGTTTAAATTACAGCACTGTTGCTTCAACTCTTGTTTTACGGGAAGTGGGCCTGCATCCTTTTCTCATTGGTTTTAACCAACTGCATTTTCTCCTAAAGACTATCATCTCCTAAGAATATAAGCTTTCCAACAACAGCTGCCTATAAACAAGACCATTTGGTTACAATTCAATAAAACATCACAAACTCCTCAAACAACTGGCTGTAGGATTATTTGACAAAATAATTGAGAGTTGCAAAACCGATGTACACTTGTACATTTCCTTAACAGTTACTGATTCTAATGGGAAAAAAAGAAGCTTCTCAAAATCAAGAACCATAAGCCTTAAGTTTTTTCATTATTTTACTTGGTAAAAGGCTTAAACATGCACCTTCAAACCAAAGTAAAGAAATTATAACAAATGGGATATGAAATTAAAAAGGAGAAAAAAATAAGAAAAAGAAAAAAAAAGTACCAACAACAACAACAACAACAACAAAAACTAAACAAAACATTAAAAAAAGAATGTAGCAAAAGTAAATGAAAGGAAGAATAGAAAGATAAGAAAAGTTCGGGGACAAAGTTATACCTTATACCATTTTACGTAGCCCTCCATGCCATTTGGCTATCAAAGATTTGATATTTGGTAAAATTGAAGAACAGCTCCCCAAAATATCTGTCGGCCGACTGTCGGTGGGAAATAAAGTCATTAATCTAGTTCCAATGATGGAGCATAATGAGTTACTTGCCTTACTTCAAAGTTTTCATTCGATTTTTTCATTCTTCATAGATTTTGGCTTAATAGCAGCTGAGCGCACAAGTGACTGTGGTAATATGATGCTGTTGAAAGAAAGGCAAAATGTTTGTGATGGCTTAATCTTGGAATGTCCACTACATAGCTGTAGGAAGAGGCGATCCATAAGAGCTGGATCGTTCTTTTAAAATTCGAAGATTCGAAGAACGCAAAAGTCGAATAAAAACTTTGAAGTAAGGCAAGTAACTCATTATGCTCCATCATTGGAACTAGACTTTATTTCCCACCGACAGTCGGCCGTCATATATTTTGGGGAGCTGTTCTTCAATTTTACCTTATATTTTTACCTCTTACTGACCAATTTGGAGGTCTGTACTGTTAGTTATGGAACCTCATTTTTTGTGCTCACATTTAAGGTACATATGCGAAGTGCATGGGCCATAAACCTGAGTAGAAAGGTGAGGTTGTCTCACTTACAAAAAAGGACCTTGAACTTGAGTTTAGTAATGTAATGATCCCAAGAGCAATAAAGTATCCAAACAAACAGATTTAACTCAACTAGTTTCATTGCAAACGTAACATGGCCGCCGCTATCAAAAGCACATGGTATTCTCCTATCCCAGCATACTTAAAGGCCTAATACATTACAAGTAAGATATTTCTTACATCTCTGGGTTAAGATAGAGGGCAAAGATTCTAATTCAAACAAACTCTTAAATTTAGCGAGCATTCTGTGAAATACAGCTTATTAATTGTCCAATCATAGCATGTGTACAAACTGAGTTATATGATGCAGACAAATATACCTAAACTAACTGACACAATAATATATCATGATAGAAGCATAATATTCTCCAGCAGTGCAGCATACTAAAACTTTCTCATCATTGTATTTATCAATGACATGTCAGAGGTGCCTGTGTGAAGGTTTTTTTCCTTCTGAGTGGTCTTGGATCATTTTCTATAGATGTTTCGACAAGGGAAACAAACATTAGCTAAGCTGAATCAACTTGAGGCAATAAAATAGACATATTGGTTAATAATTTATGCATGCAACTTCTAAACCCATGAAAAACACAGAGCCAGTTTAACTCAGCCCACAGCTTTAGACAAATTATGAACATCAAGCATTTGACTGGTTTGTTTGAGGCCAACCAAATATTTCCATTTACAACTACAAGCCAACTAAAAAACAAATGTGTGGATAAAAATTTTGGTTAAATTGGATATGGGTTTGCATTTCTGTTTTGCTTGGCAATGATGTAACCTTCCATGAATTATTGAATTGCAACCAGTCAAGGTAAACCCTGACCCCCCCCTCCCCCCAACTCAGGATATGTGGGACTTCAACGGGGCTTTATTATCACCTTGTTGGCAGCTCTTTGAGTTCCTAGTACAAGGGGTATTTTCCCTTTTTGTCACCCTTATCATAAGGAATCTGGAGCATAAGTTGGGGATTCCTTCTAATCTAAGGTGGTGACTGTCATTGAGGACCTCTGGGTACATTTCGGTGTATAGGATCACTCATGCTGGCAGACAGAAGTGTTCACAGGTATTTGTGGAATCTGTTTTATTGTTATTCAAATCAGTACATCAATTCATTTAGAGCATGGATTTAAGAAGGAAAACAATTTAATATTGAAATGCCGATTGATTTTCGTTTTATTGCTTTGAAAAAAACAAGTAAATTCCCCTACTTAAAAATTTTTTGCAGTCCTTGTCAGTGGAAAGCCATCCTTGTCAAAAGACAACCTTTCTGAATGTTCTTTATGTAACTTATGGACTAAATTGTCCATAAAATAAACTAGCATGTTTAAAATCTAATTCTACAACCTTGTAAATCTTCAAGGACAAATTATTCAAGAACATCCTAAGTTGCCCTAGGGGGTTGGGTATTTTCTGCTATTTCCTGCAGAATGTTTCTCTGGATGGTGGGGCATGTCACTTTTTGCACCCGATTGAACCCAATTCCCACCTGTATCCCGAAGTTGATGTGGGGTGGGAGAGGGGATGGGGGGTCGGAATTTACTTTGACTAGTGCATATCCATCCTTAAGGTGTTTAAGCCTAACATCTGTGCAGACCATGTTCAATTATAATTCCGCTTCATCTGCCATCCATTTCTTTCGGATGTAAAGTGTTACAGTAACAAGAGTACAATTGTTCAAGGTTCTGTTTATAATTATTGACAAAGTATTTTCATATCCTAACCACGACGGTTGGAGCAATTTGATCAGCATCAATATAGCTTCAGTAAATGAGAGAGTACTTACCGTAGCGTGTTTTCTTGGTAGTGCATTTTTTGTATCTTTTCTTGACCATATCATGTCTAATAATAACGGGGCTCCAACGCGCGCGAAGCGCGCCTGGGGCAGAACCTCATACCCATGGAATATTGACCACTTTCAAAAATGGCTGCCGGATTAATATTCTTTTGTTTAAATTTAAATTAGCCTTTCTGGCCTCGCTTGAGATGATGTATTCTTTTGAATTTTGTACTGGAAAACGAGGCCAGAAAGGCTAATTTAAATTTAAACAAAAGAATATTAATCCGGCAGCCATTTATGAAAGTGGTTAGGTTGTCACGTGACTGACCGAGCGTACATTCGTACGCACGTGCACTCAGATTGCACGGGTAGGGTAGGGGAGACTATCAAAACGAAGGGGTGACTCAGGCGAGTCTTGGCAAATGTACATCTTTTATGTTATCATTAATATTACGAACTTGGGAGCTCCGCTTTTAGGCTCGGCTAAATCTATATTTTTTTTTACCTGTCAGTAAAATAGCAAGATAGGCTGGCGGTGGAGTAGATGCAAATGCACTAAACTTCCATCGTGTGACTGGGAGTCAATGGACATAACTTCATGTAAGCAACACTGAAACGAACCACTAGCTTGACCGTTGACTCTTAAGTTCCGCACTCATCTTTAGCTGATAGCTCCGTCCCAACGTGCAAGTAACGTTCTATTACTGACAAGTAGATACCTCCTCGCAACTCCTACAGAAAAGTTCGGCCGATTTACATTTTGTGTACGAGGTGCAAAGTTTTCCGATTTGCACAAAACGGTCACAGAAATCCTTACAAATTTAAATTAAACATGAATTGTAAATTGTCACTCCTCCTCGTGGGTTCGGTTTTGAACAGGTGTTTGGGTTCCAGTTGACAGACACGGGGCGCATTGTTTCAGGTCGAACTGATCGTATCGACCCCCCGGAAGGTGTTGTACTGCGATGGGACAAAAGAAGCAACCCTCCTCTGAGAGATTATCTTTTATTTTATCAGACACTGTCGCCAAGCTATATTTCAACATTTGAATCCCGTAGTAGGAGGTTGATGGCAAAGCAAAAATTACGTCAGAGTGCATGAAGAGGGGCTGATGCGGTGGAATTTTGACACTATTGTTGTTCGAACGGGTAGTTGTTTGCTATTTGCTCCCTGGAATATATTACCCCTCGAGTGACGAAAGTTGGTGCTCGACACCGGTTCACCTGACCTGCCTTCCCAATTTTTCAGTACACAACATCTGGTACAAAGGAGGTACGGAGGCTTTACACGCTTTACTCCTCGCGTCTATTACTATTGCAACTTTTTTAAAAGTTCTGTTTAATTTTTTAATGGCACACGCGGACGCTTAAAATAAAATCCAAATCTATCCCACAATTATAAAAGATTCAGAGAATATTTTCTTCAGTGAATTAGGAGGATTCCATATCAACGGACAAAGGGACAAACTTGGTTTGCGATTCCTCTCCAGGCCTTCGTGGTCTAGTTTATTGCTCAGATTAAAAACCGTTCTTTTTTCTGAATTACACACCCCCCTCCCCACAAGACAGGATGTATAGCAGTTAATTTGAATCTGATAAAAGATAGAGTTTTATAAATTATCTTTGACATCTTTATCATAACCAAAGCTATTAACAGGGAGCAGTATTAACTGACACTAAAACTTGGACAGTAGACATTAATTTTCTATGAAACGAAAGTCTCAAACTAGTTTGAGTATTCAGTAAAGTGTTTATGTCCATCTCGTAGAATACAGGCTCGATTTCACCAGCAATCTCCCCTCTATAATTCCAGTCCAGGCCTCTTCGAATCAGAGGTATCCTTAATCAGATCCTGAGGCACTTTTAATATAAAACAAACAGATAAAAATAGTTTTAATCAAGTCGAAGGTTACCTTCAGCTAATCTGGTTTTCCAGAGAAGCGATCGTGAGAACGACCACACTGAAGCAGAGAAGAACGAAGTTGAAACAAAACAAAGGAAACATCTTTTCCACCAACCCTTAATCGATCCTCACCTTTACCTCACTTACTCGACTAAGCAATAAAAGCAATAGTCACGCGTACCTATGCATTGAAAATCTTTTATAAGAGTCTCCTGCAGGACATCCTTCGCCAGGGAAAGTTTCCTGACAAAGACAAAAATTAAAGTGATTTGTTCGAAAGTGAAACAAGAGAAAATTACATGAAAAGGAGAAGAGATCTGTCGTTCTCTTCCAACATAACGTAAAGGTTACTGTACACCACGAGAACTGTTTGGGGATGATTGATCCTTAACATTCCGAACTAGTTATTTAGTTCGGCTGGTGCAGAAACAAATAGTCCGATTTGGCCTGTCCGAACTCAAGCTTCTTGTAATCGAACGGATCAATTTGTACAGATAAAAAATCCACGTAAAATCAACACTAAATACTGCTTGTCAATCAAATATAACCATTTCACTAATGCTTGCCACTCAAATTCAGGAAAATAATTAATGCGTAGGTTGGCCAGGTTCAGCTTGTAAATCAAAATTGAATGATTCAATGATTTTCATTCTGATATTTTTCTCCATAGTTTGCAACAATTTTACTGAGTGCTATTGACATAGAAAGACTGGATACGAAAGGTATACTGTCGTCGAGAATGATACTACAAAAATTAAGCAGGTAAGCGAGCTCGCTAGGGCCAACGAAATTGGCCCAATTGGAATAGATCGTCAGATTACTCCCTTTATTCCGCTTCACTCAAACCTTTTACAATTATTTATCTGAGGTTTCAATAGAGGTTTTAGCTAAGGTATAATGTTCGAAAAACTGCGCGAATCAGAGCAGTTATTATCTGATGACGAAATATGGTTGAGATTACACACAAGTACCTCAGATAATGGTGACAATGTTGTAAACGAAATTTAAATTAACGAACAAATAATGATAACTGTCTTCTCCCAATCTGTCAATATGACTACAGACAAGGCTTCCAAGCCTTGTTTAATTTACTAATTCTGAAAGAAACAGTATAATTCGCAAAGCATTCGTCTCTTTTACTCAGTCCAAAATGTGCCCAGCCTCAAAGCTGTAGCCATTTACCTTCCCACCGCAGTCAGTCCCGCCATTCTCTCGAGTCAATATTCTGCCAGCTTCCAGTCCCGCTTTCTCAGATTCTTTACAGTGAGAAAAAGGGACAAATTATTTTGTAGTTTGATGGAAATTTAATCGACCTTAATCGATGAAATTTCGACCTTTAATCGATGAAATTTATTTTGTAGATTGATGGAGATTTAATCGACCTTAAAATAGTAGTAGTGCAAATTAACGCAATTGCAACAGTGTAATAAAACAGATTCATGGTTACCACCGTCATAGTTTTGTGAAATTCCATAATTTTCCATTACTTTATTGATAGTTGTAAAATTCCCTGGCCAGCTGTGGTAACAGTTTTACACAAAGTCCCTATGATAGCCTCCAACCTTCCCACAGGAATTGCCTCCAGCTTTCAGCAAGTCATATGCAACGAACATGACTTGATAAATACTCTACGTAACTCGGAAAAAAGATTGATTCTTTTGGGAACCCCACATCATCTTGTTGTTCAATTTCAATAAACGATAATCAACCAATTCAACTCGTCTCATGCTCGTTAAATGTACACAAGAATTCGAAATGCTAGAAACTAATGAAAACAGACGAAAAAGGAAAGTGTATGTTTTCATTCACAAACCAATTTTAACTTGTATTACAAGGGGAAATAACATGTATGATAGGAATCTGTCGGGTGTAAAGACTCTAAAACTAGAGAAAATCTTACCCAACACCGGTCCTGCAAAATATCCGTCCAAATTGGGAGTCTTTGCTTACCCGTGTTCCGCGACATTTCAGTGACCATACACTGCATTGCTTCGCCAATAATACTTGCAGCAAGAAAAATATCGTTGTGTATATCAACTGGCAAGTCTACAAAAAATTATTCAGCAGTCAAAACATTGATATATTGCCAGTTTTAGGTATCTTGAATTAAAACCCATAGATCTTTCTTAATCTTAATATAGATAATTTCAAGATTTTATACTTCTTAGTACGCTGTAAAAATAAATAATAATAAACAGTTTTTAACGTGGAGAAACACTTAGCTAGAAGCTAGTTTACAGGTTTTCCACCAAACAACCGAAACAAATAATTCAAATTGAAAATAACATTATTAAGAATCCCAACTGGACGAAGGCAAACCAGTTGGCTATATTACAAGCATGGCCGAGGATTTGAAACTCGGGGCTACCGTGAAAGAAATCCAGGTAGTGGCCAGGGCGGGACTTGAACCCGGGAGCGGCGGATCGCAGCTCCGACACGCTGACCACTCGACCACTCGCTGCTTTTATTGTACTTTGGTTGAATTTTACTTTCTGCAGCGTACCTGAAAAGTGGTTGTTAAACTAATTGTACTGACCATTTTAAATATTTCTCTTGGTTCTCGGACGACTAGATAATTTTTTTTCTATGAGTTATTAGCAAATTCTGCGCTTTGCACCCGCCAAGTGCCGGCCATAAGGGCATAAAGTGTCCAAAATCGCGCTTCAATAGTATCGACACATCCACAACTTTTTACACACTCTAACTCACAGTCATCGACAAAGGTTGTCTCTAGATTTCCACAGAAGTGTAGAAACAATTACCTGAGTGAGCATCCAAAGGGAAAGTAGAAGTTATTCTATCGACAATATTACTGAGCTCAATCCCTTCGCGAGAAATGACGGATCGACCTGCCACGCCCAACTCAGCAGCTGTTTTAGGAAGAAAAGGATTACTTGCCAAGGATCTCTGGAACTCCCCGAACTGTGGTTTTTGGTAAGGATGCCCAAGTGACAAGGAGTACCGAGGAGAATTTAGCTGCATTGATGGACTTGATGTGAGAAATGTTGCTTGTGGAACAGACGAATGTTGGCTTGAGGAGTGAGTTGGTAACACGCCTGGCACGGAAGGAGGTTGGTTAATGCCACCAGAAAAATTAACTTCCGATGAAATCATGGTATTGTTCGGTTCAGAACCCGTATAGGGAGAAGCAATGGTTGCGACTGAGGGTGACGCAGTTCTGTAAGGCTTAGAAGAAGGATGAACAGATGGTTTTTCTGGCGAAGAGAGCTGCATGGCTTCATCCTGTAATGAAGTATAAAACGACATATCGCATCTTTTTATCTTACATCTTATCTAACGCTTCTTTTTTTCATCAAAAGATTCTCATTAGCCTGAGAATAAGCTCAAACTGGTCGAGAGTTGCGACTCCAAGACATCCCGAGAGGGATTAGAGTTTTGCCTTTTCAAAACCCCACACTTGAACAAATGGCCACAATTTCGCGATATAGGAAAGCTATAAAAGCCAAGCGCTCGAGTAAAGAGGACTTGAACGTATTTCTCAATTATTAACCGAAGTGGAGGTAGATACTCACCATCAAGCCCACCAGCACTGAGATGATCTGTTATTTTAGTTTACACCAAACAATGCTGGGAAATATCTCGATTCCCGGGAACGGCATATCAACGCTTACAAAACATTTGGAAGAACTTATTGACTTGATCCGGAGGCACTTAACTAGCTGATCCGTCCGAGGAACTTAGTTCATTCAGTTTAACATTATGCTGTGAGAAATTCGCCTCGTTGTTGAAACCATGCGGCACAACATGAGATGTTTTATTGTTTACGTAGCAAATATAGTGCTCCCTGGTTTTCGTAAACGAGGTACTGATATTTTGTCCTAAAATTTGAAATTAAAAAGATAAACCATCTTACCATTACAAACCATTACATACTTAGGAACCAAACTTTGTTCTCATTTTGTGTTTAGTTCTTGGGTAAGACCTCGCTTATTAATAAATTTCCCTCCGCAAATTACAGTGAAATGGGAAGCCATTTATATTTTTGCTTCTCGTCAGCTGTTCGGATGTGAGTAGTAGTTGGCTAATTACCATCAAGATGGCCAATCAACGCGCGCGAAAAGCACTTATTTGTGCGGTACATTCCATTAGAAATATATGTCGCCTCCATTGGTGTAAATGAGACCGTTCACAGCTTCATTTCAAAGCTTTTGTGAAAAGAGGTCGACAAAACACATGAAAGAAAAGTTATGAATGTTGTTAAGCCTTCGTTCTGTGTTCTCCCGTAAGTAAAAAAGAATGCTGGAGTCATTAATGATTCGTCTAACGCGCTCATTTGTAACAGATTTAATCACGATAGGCTTCCCTTACTACAGGTCGGCTAATCAGTTGCCTCTTGATTTAAAAAACATTTCTTGTTCGTTTTACCCTACGAAAAACTATCGCAACCATTACAATGGAGGTTAGAAGGTTTGAGTGACGTAACTTCGAACCCCGGCATGGAACGTAGAGCATTTGCATGTGGCTCGTAAAATTGATAAGTTCAGTGCAGTAAAGCCGATTCTTCACTTTTTTTTGTGATTTAGGAGTCAGACAGTGGATTTTCCTCAATCGTAATGCTGATTTATGAATAACGAATGGTATGCAGCAAAAAGAAAAACAAAAAAACAAAAAAAAAGAAAAAAAGAAAAAAACAGTTCATACTCTACGGATGCTAAACTACGCGTTCGTAAATATAATAGATTTATCATTTTGAAAGAAATACTCCTTCCCTGAAATATATGTACATTTGTGTGGAGACTAAACTCGATAGGAACGGAGCAAAATCAACACCTTTTGAGGCGCTTTAGTTCACAAGCTGTTTCTGTGTACAAGGATTATGTTTAAGAATGAGTGGTGTTTTCATATTATATTTACAGTATTGCAAAATGTAATATTTTTTTGTTCATTATTACTATTCATTTATTTGTTTTGAAATCTGTACTAAGGAGGTAATAGAGATTTAGATTTCTAATTCAATTAAAATGAACGTTAAAACACTTAACGAAGCCTTCAAAAAGATGAAAAGAAACCAAAATTATCGATTTAGAAGTACATTTGAGATTTTCTGATAGAAAACAGGGGTACACTACCGTTTGGGGTTGGTGATTAGTATCTGAAGCTAACTAAGGCAAAAATAGAGGCCATTTTCTCCTCGTGTTCAAGAAGACCGGAAAATGTATTTTCCTCCTATGACAGATAGATAAAGCGACAACAATGGTTGAATTGAGCTTACTTTTAATTTTACAATTATTGCTGTTCATTACGCAACATACTGTAAATGTTAAGTTTATATCTAGAGATTTACTTAACAGGTGGGTATCAAAATCTCTGTTGAAGTTTATTCACATGCTGGTATGTATTTACATCTTCTCAAAAACGTTGAAATCGAAAGCTGACAGTAAAGTTGTAACTCGAGTTTCATGCAAGAAGCGATCATTACACTGCAGGTTTTTTTTCCCGCACGAGCAGAATTTGACGTTAAAGCTTAAAATTCCAACATTCAGTAACGGTTGGAGTTGCACTTTCTATTGTTACATTGGTTTGAAGTCAACGCTTCATCACAAAACAAAACGCCTGAACAAACTGCGCACAATATTTTTGCTTCTCGCCGCATGAGAGGGAACTCAAACAGACTTTAATGTTTGTCTCGAAAGTATTGTATCTCGTACCTTTAAACGTTTCTTTCATTTCAAAAGACTTTTATTTGTTAAAATATTCAGTTCCGGCTGGGTAAACTCCTTAACATTTGGTTTTAATTCAGCTCTGGACGCATAGCAATGCCAACGTCATTTGATTACTATGCACTGATAGCGGTCGGAAGTAGCACAGACTTCCTTTTGTTTTCATTTCAAAAATTTTGAGAGGGAACGCAAATTGTAGACGTGCACAGCAATATCGAAATGAAGAGAAATTAATATCAAAATTATTCCAAGAGCACACGTTTGACATGATGTTGGCTATAGTCAACTCGGCGCGATAATTCCTTTCGTTTTTCCTCCAGAGAGGTGATGTGATGCATGAGGCATATGCACTTCACCTATTCTTAAACACGAAGGCGCCCTCTAAAAAAAGCCTTAGGTCCCACTGGACCATTTGTCAATCAACCGTCGTGTGATGTACAACTCTTAGAGTCAAGTCAGTTTGAGCTACAGCTACTCCAAAGCAGTGAACAGCGGGCGCATTCCTCAAAATTGTTTTATGTCTTCATCACAATACAAGAATTTTTTAGATTTGTATTTCCTTTCTCCAATGGAAACTGTCTTTATTTCTGGCGATAAATTTGTGATCGAATTAGGTGGTTCGCACGTTACCTCATGCCACCATGCTGGTAGAAGTAAACAATAGATATCTCA